CCCTATATAGTTCTTATTGGTTACCGTACATCCTTGATGTATGTAAGTTGTGTTATGTATTGATTTTTGTGTATTGTAATTTGTTCTGTTTGTATTTCTTGAAATTATTTTTGTATTGTTTGTTATTTGTATTGTTTGTTTGTATTGTATTGATTGTTTGCTATTGTATTGTTTGTATTGTATTGATTTGTATTGTATTGTATTGTTTGTATTGTATTGTATTGGATTTGTTTGTTTGGTATTGTATTGGTTCCCTGTTTAGCAGACTGTCTGTCTGATCGCCGGGTGGTTTGCGAAGTTGTCTGTCTCATGTTACTGTTAGCGCCATGCTTTCTCTCTTCTCAGTGATTGTGGCAGCAAGTGTAGTGTATTGTAGTGTAGTGTAGCGTAGCTTGGCATGGCGTGATTGTGGCTGATAGGTTGGCACGTAGTGTGCTGTGTTGCTTAGCCGTTAGCGTTAGTGGTAGGCTAGCGGTAGCGTGTAGGTGTAGTGTGTGTGTGTAGTGTATTGCAGTGTTGTGTGTGTAGTTGTAGCTTGTGTATGTTGTAGTGTAGTGTGCTGTAGTGTGTGTGTGTGTTGTAGTTGTAGTTGTCGTGTATGTGTGTAGTGTGTGTGTGTAGTGATCGTTAGTGTAGTGTAGTTCGTGTATGTGTGTAGTGTAGTGTAGTGTTAGTGTAGTGTGTCGTTGTGTTGTGTGTGTAGTGTAGTGTAGTGTAGATGTATGTGTAGTGTAGTGTGTGTAAGTGTGTGTGTGTGTGTAGTGTCGTGTAGATGTAGGTGTAGTTGTAGTGTAGTTGTAGTGTTGTAGTGTATAGGTGTGTGTAGTGTAGTGTGTGTAGCTGGTGTTGTGTGTCGTGTAGATGTTCTTGTAGTGTAGTGTAGTTAGGGTGTGTAGTGATAGTGTAGTTAGTGTTGGTTGTGGGTATGTGTGTGTGTAGGTGTGTGTGTGTAGTGTAGGTAGTGTAGAGGTAGTGTAGGTGTAGTGTAGGTGTGTAGTGTAGTTGTAGTGTGAGTAGTGGGTAGCGGTGGGTGGTGTAGTGTAGTTGAGTGTTGAGTGTGAGTAGTGGGTAGCGTAGTGGGTGGTGTAGTGTAGTTGAGTGTGTGTAGTGTATGTAGTGTGTGTGTGCTAGTGTGTGATTGTTGTGTGTAGTGTAGTGTAGTGTAGTGTAGTGTAGTGTGTAGTGTGTAGTGTAGTGTAGTGTGTGTGTTGTGTGTGTGTAGTGTGTGTATGTGTGTGTAGTGTAGGTGTAGTGTGTGTGGTCGGTGTGTGTGTAGTTTCTAGCTTGTGTAGATGTGTGTGTTGTGTTATGTGTGTATTGTAATGTTAGTGTTGTGTTTTGTTAGTAGTGTAGTGTAGTGTAGTCCGGTACAACGCAGCATATGTTAGGGTAGACTATGGTAGGATTGGATAGGATAGGGTTGTGGGGTGTAGTGTAGTGTATTCTGAGTTTGGGCAGCAGAAGGTAGGGTACGATAGAATAGGGTATGGTACTGTTTTGTTGTGGCATGTATAATTATGTAATATGTTGTATTTCAGTGTAGTGTTAGGGGTAGTGTGTGGTAGTGTATGTGTGAAGGGTAGTTGATAGTGTATGTAGTGTCGTGTAGCGTATGTGTAGCGTAGTGTAGTGTAGTGTAGGCATATTGTTTAGTGTGGTGTAGTGATGAGTGTGAGGGTGTAGTGTAGTGTCAGTTGTTGCAGTGTAGTGTAGTGTAGGTGTAGTGTATGTGTGGGTGTAGTGTAGTGTAGTGTATCAGTTTATGTAGTGTACGTGTAGTGTAGTGTAGTGTAGTGTAAGTGTAGTGTAGTGTAGTGTAGTGTTAGTGTTGTAGTGTAGTTTAGTGTAGTGGTTGTGTAGTGTAGGGTAGTGTAGTGTAGTGGTAGTGAAGTGGTATGAGCGTAAAGTGTGTGTAGTAGTGTAGTGAGTTAGTGGTTAGTGTAGGTGAATATAGTGTAGTGTAGTGTAGTTTAGTACGGTTATACGGGAGCATATGTTAGGTAGACTATGGTAGGATTAGATAGGATAGGGTTGTGGGGTGGTGGTAGTGTATTCTGAGCTCTTGGGCACAGAAGGTAGCTGTAGGATAGAGTGGGTATGGTAGTTGGTGTGTCGTGGATGTGTATGTAATATGTTGAATTTCAGTGTAGTGTATTGTGTTGCAGTGTAGTGTTAGTGTAGTGTAGAGGTAGTGTTAGTGTACTGTAGTGTAGTGTGGTATTAGTGGTAGTTGTAGTGTAGTGTAGTGTAGTGTGTGTAGTGTAGTGTAGTGGTAGTGTTGTGGTGGTAAGTGTGTGTGTTGTGAGTGTAGTGCAGTGCAGTGTAGTGTAGTGTAGTGTAGTGTAGTGTAGTGTAGTGTAGTGTAGTGTAGTGTAGTGTAGTGTAGTGTAGTGTAGTGTAGTGTAGTGTAGTGTAGTGTAGTGTAATGTAGTGTAGTGTAGTGTAGTGCAGTGTAGTGTAGTGTAGTGAAGTGCAGTCCGATGCAGTTCAGTTCAGTACAGTATAGTGTAATGTAGTGTAGTGTAGTCTAATGTAGTGTAGTGTAGTGTGGTGTAGTGTGTGTAGTGTAGTGTAGTTTAGTGTAGTGTAGTGTAGTGTGGTGTAGTGTGTAGTGTAGTGTAGTGTAGTGTAGTGTAGTGTGGTGTAGTGTAGTGTAGTGTAGTGTAGTGTAGTGTAGTGTAGTGTAGTGTAGTGTAGTGTAGTGTAGTGTAGTGTAGTGTAGTGTAGTGTAGTGTAGTGCAGTGTAGTGTAATGTAGTGCAGTGCAGTGCAATGCAACCTAGTCCAATGAAGGGTGCAGTGCTGGGTAATCTATTGTAGTGTACTGTTGTGTATTTTGTTATGGTGTGGAGTGTGGTATCGATTGGAGAGATAGAAAGATAAATAATTTACGTTTCATAAAATCTACAATTTGCATTATATATAGTTACGATAAGTGTATATATATGAACACAAATATACAACTACATCAAATCCTTAATCTCGCTTTGACAACTTGAGCAACAGAGGATAATGTAGGTTTTCATTGTAACATGGATCAGATTGTCTAACTTCGCAGTGCCTCTGCCACACATGATCGTCATATTGTTCTTGCTTCTCTACATTGAAAGATGATTGGGCTCGCTTTACAAAACTGTCAAGAGTTCCACTTCTACTTGGTGCAAGAAGAAATGCTGTTCCCTGCAAAAGCCCACATGCTGATTTTACACAAACCAAATGCAAGGGTTAATCTACCTGTTATTTTTAGAGCATTATAACATTTTTGTATGAAATGTCAGCATAAGAATTAACCATGGAAAGGGTAGTTTAAAAAACTGAAGCCTTACATAATTAGATTTTTAGCTAGGCAGTTACCTTATTCGTCAAGAGTTTTTGTATAGTGTGTAGCAGATCCTCATGGGCTTTATCAAAAAAAAGACTGAAAGCAATAGACCACCTTGGTATCAATCTAACATAATCATAGGTGAAGTTACAATCTACCTTCAAAACATATTGCAGAATATGAAATGAAATGTATGTGAAAATAAGAATTTGAACTTAGATAGAAGTAGAAAATATTTCCTTACCAGTCAGCAGAAAGAATAACATCAAACTGATGTTCAATGTCTAAATACTCTTCATATCTATCCCACTGTAGCGATCTGTAATATGAATTGTGAACTGGCAATAAACTATCGGGGAAGGTTATGAGATGTCTATAATTTAAAAATCATTCAATGCAACAATGATTCCTTCTAAAAATCTGGATTCAGGATACTGTTAAGGTTACGGATGTGTAACACTGTAAAGGGCATTGCAACATAACTGCTCAATCCAACTCATATCCATTACATAAGAGAGATGTACGTCTCTCTACGCTCTAGATGGGGAAAAAAAATTTAATTCATCGCTAATTAAATGACGGCAAACATTGTGAATTTATACAAAAAAATGTTGTTTTTTTGTTATTTCTCAGAAACAGCAGAGTTGGGACCTAAACTTTTAACCATAAGTTGTTCATAATATGAACTAAACAAGTGCCGCAGAGTCACAGCGCTCAACTGACGTGTACTGTAGCCGGGTATTCTTCTGATAAACTCACTGGTAACCGAATCAAGTGCGCCCTCCCGCCACTCTAATAGCAAAAGCAGTTCAGTTCTTTGTTAACAGTCAACAAATCCATGTTCAACCCTCCTCTTGATGGTCAAAATGTTATCAGACACTTACTCTTCGCACGTCAGCAGAAAGTACATTTCATGGTCCTTTCAATAAAGTGATAAAAATGGTAGGTCAGCGCTGAAACAAAAAAGTTTTGCACTGGGTCCGTTAGACCACGTCCTCAGAAAATTTCCCCCACTGCCATTTAACCTCTAATTTTGCACTGGTGATGGGTTTCCTCCCCATCACACTATACATCGAATATTACGAGCATAGGTCGAGCCGTTGAAATTTGTGCCGCAATCCCGTATTTCCTCCTATACCTTAAGTTAAGGGGGAAATATTCCCCCTCCATTAACACATCTTGACCTTTGACCATTGACCCCAAAATTCGACATCCCCCTAACGTCCCGAATATCTAGACCGTACGTTGAGCGGTCAAGATTTCTGCCGTAACTGTTGAAACACGGAGGGACGCACGAATGGACGCTCATGCAATTCTACAAGCTGCATCTGACTTCGTCATCTGAGCTAAAAGGGGTACCTGGAATTTTTTTTAAATGCTTTAATTTAGGAAATGTTGAAAAGATGGACGAAAATGTGTAGTGATTTTCAAAACACAACAATTTCGTAAAACAAAGAGCCATAACTTATAAAATATAATATTTAAATAAAATTCCAGGGATGCTTTTTTCCTTTGATATGTTAAGCATTGAAACGTAACAAACATTTTTGGAATCAGTTGTGAGTTTCGAGAAATAGCGTTTGAAAAATTAGCAACTTCAGCATTTTAACAATGGAGATATTAGCACTTTTCTAAATTTCCCATGATTGAACGCCTGTGTTAAGAATTGACTAATGTGGGGATTTGGAACTGTTTGGGAGGCTACATACATAATTTCTACATATACATAGCTGCCCATGGGTCCGATCTATCAAATAAAGTGGATATTGAAATTTCGACCGAAAATCACCTCCCAACCCTAACAGTATCCTTCAGTATATCAACAGTAACTCATTGATCTAAATAAATCACATACCTCACCTCAATCGATGATGATTTCAGTCTGTCTTTGTTGTGTTTGAGTATCTCCTTTAAATCTGTCACTCAGTTAAAGTATTCATATTCTACCCACTTGAGTATCCAGAAAATTTAACGAACAGGAACATATTGCTGCTCGTAGGGTCTATGTCCCCCTGACCTCTGTTTGACCTGGCTCGTTTAGCTATTTCTGACTAACCCTAACCCTAACCCTATATATATTATATATTATATATATATATTAGTCAGAAATAGCTAAACGAGCCAGGTCAAACAGAGGTCAGGGGGACATAGACCTTATCTGCCATATTGCTCCATGACATATCATCTTTATTATGTAAGCGCAGGTCTGTGAAAAAAAAACATTTTATAATCCTCAAAAAGCTAAAAAGATACTATTAATCGAATTCGCATTTCCATCAGTCATTAGAACTCTGTCGGCACCTCCTGGTATCACAGATAATGCTACAGCAGCTAGACAGGTCATGCCTCCTCCAAGCTCACAGATTGACTTCCGACTGTAAAGACAAAATATCAGCATGGCCTTTAACCACCCAATAGATAGGGGAATTAAAGTAAACACTGGTGCATAAATTAATGCAAACTATTACACATTGATACATCCTTAATAAGTTCATTCGGTTGGTTGATAATAGAGGTAAGTTGGTTGATTTCTACTTGACCGTGAGGTTCAAACGTACCTGCTAGTATTTCGCGTCCTAACAGGAGGCTTTTTCAAAGCTGACCGACTTTGTCAGATTTGACCACCAGATGGTGTAGTGGTCAACAGCTTCGTCCACACATGACCGAGTCTGTACCCCAATATATCGTGTGCGATGTGCGGAAAAAGTTACATTGGAGATATGGGCCGTAAATTTGAAACCCGCCTAAAAGGGCACAAAAAGGATGTAGATGCCGTAGCTCCCAAATCATTTACGAGGACCCAGCAAAAACAATCCGCTACCGAAATAAACAAATTTGCGATCATGGACCATGTAGTGACCACCAATCACACCATCAATTCGGATAATTCGAAAATTATCAATCGTGAGCCAACAAGAATAAGGCGTTGGATTAAGGAAGCCATCTGGATTCGCAAGACCCCGAACATGAACCGAGACGAGGGAAGTGTACAGACTCAGTCACAGATGGACCAAGCTGTTGACCACTACACCATCTGGTGGTCAAATCTGACAATGTCAGTCAGCTTAGAAAAAGCCTCCTGTTAGGATGCGAAACGTTAGCAGGTGCATTTGAACCTCAAGGTTCAGTAGAAATCAACGAAGCTATCTCTATTACACATCAGGTCAAGAGTTGGTTCCGACCCATTATCTTCCTAGGACACTCAGCACACAATAGAGAGCAAAGTCAAGGCAGTGGCCATGCAGTACATGCTTGCTTGTTACCGCATACCGTTTACCTGAACAAATCACGATTCTTGAGACAGTAGTAAGTGAGAACCTCCTCCGAAGGCCACACACCTGTGACAAATGACATTATTTCACTTTACACTGTAACAGCTTGATGTAATATCGATGATTGGATCCTCATAATGATTTTTATTCAGACTTTCAACACAATCATGTTCAGCCATGACGGAAAATACCAGATGATCAGAAGACACCTGGGGCCATCGGTATTCACATAATAAATTATATATCTATTTTATCTATTCATTGTTAATTTCAAAAATGACAATTATTATCTATTAAATTTATTTAAGATTCTACTACCGCACAGTGCTACAATGATTTACCTATGGTGCATTTAGTAGCAACAATTATCTTATACTTACAAACATTTCCAGTATTGTTGAAGCCGACTAGGTCGTCAAGATTCAATGCTGTTAAGTATCTGTAGTAAACATTTGGGCAAAGCTCTATTGCATATCATTATATCAGACATCACAGTTAATGGGTAACTGAGTAGTAACCCATAAAATTGTTTTTGTAGTGAAAACTTTTTATGTTTACATTTTTGCCAAGTGTTGACTTTATTTTTCTTCAAAACTGCTCGTTTTGATAAATGAAGCATGCTGTATTTGCTAATGAATAAACTATCAAAATTTACCCGTTCATCTTCTTTATTCCTCCTTAAATTTGAATTTTAAAAGTACTGCCCGAGAATCCAGAAAATCCAAATATCCGGACCGACCCCATCCCTGAACAGTCTGAATTTTCGGACTTATACTGCATAATTTAATTCCAAATTATTACCTTATATAAACAGTAAAATCAGGAAACTCTTTACTGTAGTTAGTTTGCCAGAAACTACCTGTCTGGGTTGTGCACACAACTTCCTTGGGTAATGAACCTGTGTGTATCAGTCCAAATGACTGAAAGCGTCTCACGGATATGGATGAGGTCTCATCACTGCTGCCAGTACGCTTTGTTATTGCCTAGAGGTCAGAATTACATAAGCATGGTGAGGCTAGTAGCACAATAAGTACAAAAGCAATCCTCGCTCAAATGCAACAGTTGGGTTTTTTGGGAAGAAATGCAGTGGTGACTTGCACTGGCTCAAGAATTCCTGCGGCAACCCATCAATGACTTCATTACAAGTGTGGCTGAAAAGAAAACAATTGCTACTATGTTATGTGGAACAGTATATGTATAGTAAACAATCTATTATCCGAAACCCTTGGGACCAGACAGTGACACGTTTCGGAATTCGGAATTTTTCGGATTTCAGAATGGTAGTACAGTACAGATGTACACACCGCATATCTTGCAACTAGCCAGTACTAAAACCCAAGTTTTCATGAGGCCAAGTGCTGTACCGCAACAGTACAATATGTATGAACACATGATTACATATGTACTCGGTATAAACACTTGTCTCACACAATATATACCGCGTTCACACGCTAATGGTTTGGCTCGAGCTAAATGGGCTAAATTTGGCTCGGGCCGGTTTGAGTCGGAGCGTTCATATGTACGTAAGTGAATACTGTCTGTCAAATTCAAATTCATATTCAAATCAATTTTATTGCACAAATATCCCACAGATACTTTGGCAGTATATCGCGAGATGGCGTTGTGTACGATTCAGTGTTTACTTCCATTCCGAGTTCAATTATCAATCTTGAAAACATGCATCCTGATCAAATTTTCCAAATTAAATAACTGTTTTGGACTTTTTTCGTCAAAGTACACGTTCGACACTCGCGGCATCTAGCGCTCTACCGATTTAGCTGGTGCTAAAATTTGGCTCGAGCCTGGTCAGACGTTTTCGATGGGACCAAATTGGCTCGTGCTAACTTGTCACGGCCCCGAAAAACCGTCCGTGTGAACGTTCGGCTCGAGCCAAATTTGGCGCGGGCCTAATTAGGCTCGGGCTAAAAACGTCCGTGTGAACGCGTCTATATACACTAAAATGGTCCTCAAGCTATCAAAATCAGCACAAAGAGACCTCATCAGCTGTGAGGCAGTATGTCCCAATAACTACTATTTAAAAAAAGATCATCTAGTCCACTTTTAGAACCAACAACATAAAGATTTAGTATTGTATCATAGTGTTGAGCCTAAAAATGTGACAAGAAAAAAAAAGATATTTTAAATTCTGACTACCAAAGACACCAGACATATAATCATTTCAATGAGCTCATAAGGAGACAGCTTTGGGAAGATGAACAACATTCAATAGAACATCGCTAATTTTTGTACAAGCACTAGGTTTGTTATATATGAAAAAGTATGTTTCCTTACAAAACAATTCACAAAACTACATGCATCATAGGAGGGAAACCAGATATATTACATCAGGAGTAGATAATAGGGAAGGAGTGTGACATCAATAAACAAGGGAAATTCGTCATTTACTAGCTTGCCTTAAAATACCTACGATTTACTACACGTAACGCAACCAACTTGAGCTCAAATCGTACGCAGTACATCCGCATAGCATCGTGCGAAATCGTTTCCTCGTATACACCCGCAATCCAGAGATACAGACTAAAACGTACGACACGATTTTCAATTCTGTTGCCAGCAAAATCCATGCGTTGAGAAAGCTATTTGAAACAAAAGGCAGCTACTAACGCGCTATTGCTAACTCGGCGGGCAATGTGGCTCGCTGGGAGATTTGAATCCGATCTGCTGCTGATAGCGGATTGGCGTGCATGCGTGGTATATGGGGGCATGCCAGCTGTATTGCCGGCATGCCGGTGTAGCTGTGTACCGGGTCAAAGGTTATCTCGCCGAGTGTTGCGTTGATGCCTAATCTCCCAGCAAGCCACATTGCCCGCCGAGTTAGCAATAGCGCGTTAGTAGCTGCCTTTTGTTTCAAATAGCTTTCTCAACGCATGGATTTTGCTGGCAACAGAATTGAAAATCGTGTCGTACATTTTAGTCTGTATCTCCGGATTGCGGGTGTATACGAGGAAACGATTTCACACGATGCTAGGCGGATGTACTGTGTACGATTTGAGCTCAAGTTGGTTGCGTTACGCGTAGTAAATCGTAGGTATTTTAAGGCTAGTAAATGACGAATTTCCCTTGTTTATTGATGTCACACTCCTTCCCTATTATCTACTCCTGATTACATCTGGATAGGGCAGAAGTTCTGGGGGCACTGCCCCCTTGCCCCCCCCCCCACCCCACCCAGCTAGCTACAGCCCTTTTTAATACATACCAGTTCTGGAAGGAGGGGATAAAGCCTCACACTACCAACTGGTCATGGTCAGAGCCACGTTGAAATTATTTATAAAGCGCAACCAGGTGCCAAAGATCACATGAGCATGATACACTATATGGATTTCCTTATGAAGAAAGAAACATTAAAGATGTTATGACTTACCTTTACAGAGTGGATTAGGGGTTTATAGAACATCAGAAAAAAGACATGCTTTGCATTTTACACCCATTAGCAACACAGTATCCTCCGCATCAATGATGGTAAATAAACACGAAATGTAAATACTACCAGTCTTAAATCTTTCTCTACTCTGTTTCGCTTATTAATAATAAGTTATTATTGCCAATAGTTTCCTGTAAATGCAGTTCAAATGCTCCTCTGCAACACACAAGTACACTGCACGCACGCGGCTGTGCACAAACAACAAGAACAAAGAGTGCAAATAAGAATATAGAGTATATAACAATAAGATTGTAAATAAGAAACAAAAATAAAGAACATAAATATAAACTCTTCATATCTGTGTTTCAATAATAATATAACAATCGTTACAATGTTTGTGTGTAGCAGCGTGCGTGCAGTGTACTTGCATGTTGCAGAGCATTTGAACAGCATTTATTATAGGAAATTATCCGTAACTAGCAGGATACCCAGCATTGCCCGAGGAAATCAGTGGCCTTACTCAGTTGGTGACCGCTTGGTTGAAAGGAAAATACCCAAAAAAATCTAACTATCTATGATCTATCTATCCATGCATCCATCCATCCATCCCATTCCATGCCATCCCATCCCATATCGCATCGCATCCCATATCGCATCCCATGCCATCCCATGCCATCCCATCCCATCGCATGCCATCCCATCGCATGCCATCCCATCCCATCCCATGCCATCGCATGCCATCTCATCCCATCCCAAACTGTAAAAAAATAATAATAAATCAAAAGATAAAAAACATTAAAAAATAAAAAAGTAAAAATAATAAAATAAAATAATATAAAAAATATAATAATATTTTATCTGCAACCTACATAGGCTTCCGTTAAGTGTTCCCGACAGTTTGCGCTGTTATTATCATCTACCATAGTTTATTCTGGATTTTTACTAAACGTTGAAATGTAGTAAAAAAATTTAAATTTTGAAATTAACGGTGAATTTTAAGGTTGTTTTTTTGGGTTGTCCGAAGGACAACCAAGAGAGTAGCATATGGTTGTCCCTCAAGAGTTTTGGTTGTCCGGATATTATTTAAACATGTGCTGCACGCGCTGGTTCAAGGATAAAGAAGATGTCTAGTCCTATCCTAACATCATCCTATCCAATCACCGTACTGGATATCATCTGTACCTTGAACCAGCGCGTGCAGCACATGTTTATATAATGGCCCAAGGATCAGCTCGAACATGGGTCAATAAATCCAATGTGGCCTTAACCCTAAGCCCATAATCTAACCCGGCTAACCTACACGCCTAACAAATTAAAGCCCTAAACCTATTAGTATTATATTATGATATATATATTATTATTTATATTGATCGGAAATGACATTGGTTTATTGGACCATGTTCTCGTATCCTTTGGAACCAAAAAAGACCTTAAAATTGAGGCACCTGAGCGATTGAAGTATGCAATAGATAACTATTGGCTTATTGCCATGGCATGACATGTTCAATGTTGTAGGCCGCTATTGCCTAATTCACACATAATTCAGTATTTCTGAGATTGCACTAAGAAGGCTCAGGCTATAGTATTAGTATTACCTATTCAGTGCTCGAAATAAGCTGTTGTCCGGTTGTCGGAGAGACAACCAGAATTTGCGCCGGACAACTAACCAGTCTGAGACATTGTCACGCGTGACAACCAAAGAAAAATGTGACGAAAAAACGCACTTTATTTATGTTTATTCACAGGGGTTTCCAGACACATTATACCTGGCGGCCGCCGATAATCTATTGGTGTGGGCAAAGCAACGCATACCAGCTGCTATTTCCAGAACACTGGTATATGTCAGGTTTTGATTTATAATGAGAGGTGAATTCAATCGATTTGGAACCAAGCAATACAGCAAGTTCAGACCTTTACTAGTTTTGTATTTTTATGTCCATTATTATTTTGAATTTTCGCGATGGCTTTGCCCATGCAAAACAAACAACAGTGGGGATTCATTGTTGATCCGAAAGTAAGAAAAAAAAGGGGAAAAATGTCGTAGTCAGAATGAAGTGCTGTATATGTACTCAAAGTGCCAGCAAATACCATCTCCTGCGATCTACATTTTCAATAATTTCTGGGGGAGGACCCCCGATAACCCCGCTTGTTTTTCACCCCTCCCTGGAATCCTAGATCCGCAGCACTGGAACAATTTACCATATCTGGAGCAAAGAACAATATGAACAAAAATGTCGGCCTTTCGGATGCACCAAAACAAGATTGCAGAGAAGGTAGGAGAGCCGTAGGCTGTGCACGAATGGCGAGACGGAGGAGCCATTACAGTATTAAGTCACTCACTATTCGCCGACAGTTTGGCTGTTTTTAGCCCCCCGACCCCCCTTGTTAACAAATCCTGGACTACACCATGTTTTTGCGTGTTTGTTGACGCATCATTATTAATTTATTATGTGATTGAAAATAGGAGATTTGGGGATATTTTTTTGGGACAACCAGAAATTGTTGCGGACACCCGATTTGATGCGGAACAACCACATTTTTTTCTTATTTCGAGCACTGGCTATTACTAGTATAGTATTATATACTATTATTGCCAATATTGGTGACGCAGGCTATTGGCAGTATTGGTAAAAATTTACCTGTCGCAATATTTTCCAACGCCTGCTTGCCAATGAATTCGACATTTCTTCATCAGTACAGCAGTATAAGTAATAGTAGTCACGCTATCATCATGATTTTAAACAAATTACATACACTTGTGACACGGTTGACGGAAAACAACGGAAAGAGCTACGGGTCATTTTTTTGGCTACCCACTGCCATCTATCGGTGAATAACGCATAATAGGCAATGTACGCTAAGCTACACTAGGGGGCGCATCAAGTGGGAGTTCGCATTCATTCAGAATAAAATTGTAATTAAATGTAATCTAGTGTCTGTGTCTGTATAACGTTTTCTAACGCTTGCTTGATAATGAAATCTATGTTAAATCATCAGCACAGTAGTGTTACTAGTAACGCCCACGAAACCACATTCCCATATCTTGTGGGCAAAGTTAGAGGACAGAATCCGGGACAGAATATGGCAAGCCGTGCATTTCCTTCAAAACTAATATCATATGGGAAATAGAATTAATGTAACTTTAAATTGAAACAATACTTTTATAAATAGAAAATACAAACAGGAATATAGTAAATGCAAGTGCTGAATAGAACAGCAGCGTTTGAATGAAAACAATTACTTCCATAAGAACGGAAAAGCACCAAGATTAAAAATGAAAACATGCGGCAGTACTTTGAATCAAAGCAACAAAACTGGAACGGATAACAACCCAGTCACGTCCCGTCCGTTAAGCCCCTCAGTCAACATAGCACGACGCACGGCCCGCCACTGAGAATTAATCAAACGAATGCGAAAATAGATTCAGTGCGTCGTTGTGGCCGGCCAACTTTATGTCAGGATTTGAGAAAGCTAGCGAGTTGAACAACGGACATGCACCGTGTTGCGTACGCGCGCTGCGCTGTACTCAGGGCGCTATACAGGCGCAATGCTTAAAAAATCCAACAATTGCACAGGTGTTGCTGCGCACGAAACGAATGGTCCGCGCATGCGCGCGCATGCACCGCGCATTCACGCACAGCCATGCGCACAGGCCAACGCACAGCCAACGCAACAGCCAACGCACAGGTCAACTTTCTGGATGAGAAGGGGATATGGTGTTGCTGAGCACCCTTACCACCTAAAGGACATTGATGTGCATATTGGTCACCATGAGAGGCAAGATTGCCGCAGAGTGAGAGCAAGCTTCAGGCCAGGGGCGAGGGCCTTCTGTATGCTTGTAAATTCTGCTGTGTGATCCTCGACCCACTCTGGGTTAGCAGCTCGTTGCAACATCTGGCGGGCATCCGCAAAGTTTTGTGAATCTGCCTGCGTCTTCGTTACGGATTCAACATAAGTAGCTGGTCATAAGGCCAAACTGTCGTCGGCCTACGATCCCAGGGTCGCGACCAGAACCTCCGTCTACCTCCTTCTCTTCTCCTTCTCCTGATGTACATGGACTGGTGAAGTGCCCAGTTCCATGAGTCTTGCTGATGTTGGAGAACCGCGATTTCGTATTGTCAGTTCGCAGGCCTGTCGGGATCCTCCATCTTCTTAGGTCGTTCTTCTAGACACGATCAAGCAGGAATCTCGCTGTCAATCACCCATGAGGCGTCGGGAGAAGTGATGATGAAGGAAGTGTGGCCGGGACCGTTACTATTAACCGCCATGGCTACACGCTGCGTACAGCTAGGAACAACGCTAGAAGAAGCTGGGCGCGCTACAGACTGCGTTCAGCACTTCGTTCAGCACACGCTCATATCGCTGCATGTTCGCGCTGGAATGCGTTAACAACACGCTAGGTAGTAGCGGCTAGCCTGTGGCGCAGGTGTCGCTGACACCTCGCGCCGATCAAGCATACACGAATACCCAACGTGTTGCGCCGCGTGGGTCTGGCGTTGTCCAGCGCGCTCTTGCGCGTGTCTGCGGCAGTCCCTTCTGGCAGTGTAACCTCATGCGTCGAGCTCGCGCGCAACAATTTTGACATGCTCAAACATCCCGACGCACACGCCAGCGAACGAGGAATGGACAACGAATGGCATGAGCGTTGGTCCAGCGCGCTCGACAGAACGAGTAAGCGAATGCTGACGTCACACCCAGCGAAGACACGCATTGGCCAAAATTTGCTGATTTTCCGAGTGCGCGGGCCGTGCGTCTCGTGTATGTGTGACTGCGGGCTTTAACAGAATACTCGTAGCTATAGCACATTGCGCCGTACTGTGATAGAAACAACGCAACTCGTGGAAGGAATAAATGAAAAGAGATTCCGGTTTTACCACTTTGGTGCGTGCAGAGCTGCAAAATTCAGCTGGCGAGCCAGCAAATTTGGAACAGGGCGGGGGGCAAGGCGAGGCAGAGAGAAGCGACCGAGGGGTAGGGGTGTGGAGGGGGAGGGCGGGGGCGGTTCCACGGTAGGGAGATTTGAAAATTCGCATGAAATGGCATTTTCTGCAACACTAAAATTCCAAGTATTAGTGGGTAACTGTATATGAGAAGTGGCATATGCTAATCCACTAACCCCCCCTCCCTCGCTTTTTTTTTATTCTCACTCCGATCCGAGTCAACGTGGACATGCGCCCCTGGCGTGTGGCCGCCGGAAGATGCTCTGAGGTACACACTGACCCATGGTGTGACCAGACCCCCCCTAGCTAGTAAA